CACACGCTGGGATGGGCTCCCAAGGCCGGACGGAAACAGGGTGCTGTCCCTGTGCCTGGCCCCATCTCCTTAGGTCGAGGACGTGGCCTGCCAAGTAGAAGCTCCAGGTGGGCAGCTCCCCCCCACCCCGCCTCCTTCACCTCTCCACCCTGAGTGCGGCTACTGTGGCAGGAGAAGAAGGAACAGGGTGAAACAGAATTTGGGGCAACTCAGGAAGCCCAAAGCTTCCTTGCATGCCCCGACCCCATAGGTGTCCCTGCCTCTCACTGTGAAGAAAACCCGCCGTCCCCACAGTGCCGGCACCTGTGGAACCCTCATGGAAGGAACAAAGCAAATGACAAGAAAATGGTAAAAGCAGCCTCTCTGGTGGCGCAAGGGGGTAAGCACAGCACTGCAGCCACTGTGGCACGAGTTTGATCCCCGGCCAGGGAGCTACCCACATGGCGCAGCAGAACTCTCCTGTCTCGCCCGCTGCTCCCCTCAGCAGTGTATTTCAGTCAGTCTGCCTGTTCTGTTCCCCACTCTGTCTCTGGTGGATCCTGTCACCGCCCCCCACATCTCTGCCTGTACCCCAATTATTTTATGCATAAATAAATAAATCCTCAAAAAAGAGAAAATGGTAAAAGCCCTTTTGAGCTTATTCTCCATTTTATATTTATAGACACAAAAATAACAGATCACTGCCTGGCACACGGTAACTCCTATATTGGTGTTAATTAAAAAAATAAAACCAGCCTCTATGAGAAAGCAGAACAGAGGTTTTTACAATATATCCTTTTATCTTCAGTTCCTCTGACTAACTGAAGTATTTGTTCGTTTCCAGACCATAATTCAATAACCCAAGGAAGACGTTCAAAGACTTTGGTATGCCATTGGCAAAACACCCTTCAAATGAAGGAAGAACATTCCCCAGACTTGTAGGGACCTGCTGGAGGGAGCTGAGGGCTCTGCTCTATGAGTCTCTCCCCTCAGTGCTGCCAATCTCCTGCTACCTCTGAGAGATGGGGGCTGAAGCTGCTCTCCACAGACTCCCACATGTTGGCCGCACCCTTTCTGCCCAAGCCCAGTCAGCTTGAAATTACAGCCCCAGCTCACACGGCCCCTCCATGAAAACAGGCCCTTTCCTGCTGCCGGGGTAAGCCTCCCCTCCCAGCACCGGTGGGGGAAACTGCAGTGAGTGATCGGGCCACGTGTTCAGAGCCCCAGCAATTCAAGGACTGGATTAGAATCAAGACAAGAGAGGGGCTGCCAGCTTCTGGACCCTGAATTTGTGAAACTCTTGCACAAGAAAACTTAACCCCAAGGAGTCAGGGCCCACTGGTCGCCATGACCCAAATAACGGCAACTGCCTTTGAGCCCACCAGAGCCACAGCAAAGTTGCTTTGCCCACATGTCTCTTTCAGATGTGGGGTCTCAAAATCCTACAGAGGCTGGGTGGGGTTCCCATTAAACACAGGAAGCCTAGATAGGACCTGGCTGCATGAGGAAGGGTGGTTTACCCAGCCCCCCAGTCCACGGAGGGGCCAGCCTCCAATGCTGTAATCCTGAGAACCCAGCTGACATCAAAGCTGGGGCCCAGAGTCAGGATGGGGTTACGCTCCCCGCTGGCTTTGAGTAGAGGCAGGGGAATTCTTTCCTCAATCCTCCCCAAGGCTAGGGCTTTGTGGAGAGTTCCTGGGGCTGGCACACCCCTGCCTCTGCCCTCGCCCATCCTGCCAAATCTGGCTCTGCATGATCCCAGATGGGGCTGCCAACCATTGCCCAGTGCACATGGTGACTCATGCCTCAACTATTGCTCCCCACTTTTGTGCTGAACATACATAGGATAGAAGCAGGACACCGAAGCGCTTCCTCTCTTAGAGGTGGGGTTTGGTGGCTGGGAGAGGATCTGGGGGCTACGAGAAGTCTCAGGTACAAAATACTCTCAGGGCAGGGTCAGAGGGAGAGGAGAGGAGGGAAGTCCACCACGTGGAGTCACGAGCGCTGTCCTCAGAGGGCATACAGAGGGCAGGGGCCAGGAGATGTACCCGCTGGCCATGGGCCAGAGACAGAGCAGGTGGACAGGACTCTGGGACACAGCATCGGGCCAGGGAAGCCCCGAGCAGCATCTGGGGGAGAATGGAGGACTTGACCTTATGTCTGTCCATTTAAGTTTAAAATATGTTTGCTGAGCATTTCTGGGGTGCAAGGCTGGGCTGAATATGCACTCAGGTAAAGGTGAGCCAGACGTGTGCCCTGATCTTGGGGACTGTGCTGTCTGGGGAGGCTTTGAGGGCTATTTCTATGGAATAGGTGTCCTGATGAAGACACTCCGCTCGTGACGTCCTACGCCATACGTCCTCCAGGAAAGACAGATGACGGCAGACTTGCCTAATCCTTACCCCGGGGACACCTGGATGGATCCTGGCCCTGCCTGCTCTGGGAGGCAGTGTCTGCCCCACTCTCCACTCCCAGCCTCTGCAAGGAGCCGAGTACTTGTCCTGTCCCCCTCGGTGGGCCCCCTTCGCCCAGCACAGACTTCTGCTGCTGGGGAAACGGTGCCCACAGAAACTAAGTAACATGTCCTGCCAAGTCCTGGTAACTCCCTCTGAGGGGTGCCCGGAAGAAAAGCAAAATCTTGGTGAGCGCCCAGAGATCTTGCTCTTCCTGCCACAGTGAAATTCCAGGCTGGGGTGGGACTCTCCCACACGGTGGTGGCGCTGCTGCCGGGCCCCATTATTTATACTTGTCCAAAGCTGGCCTGGCAGAGGGGGTTGCCCTGCCCACCCGGAGGAGGGGTTCCCACAGAGCTTGGACAGAAAAGTGCCACTATTTCTGCCCCCTTCAATGAGGCACCCAAACAGTCCCTGTCATGGTTACCTGGCACCAGTGCACCCTTGGTCCCTGGCATCTGAATCTGAGCTTGGCATGCGCCAGCAGTTCTCAGACTGACCACAGTGCATTCCTGTTCCACCAAGTCCTTCTTCCACAACACAACTGGGAGGAGGAGGAAGAGGGAAAGGAGAATGTGCCAGTGTCTCAGGGAGGGTGGGGCTTCCCCAAGGGCAGTGGGGATGTACCCAGGACATGCATGGTGGGGGGATACCCTGATGGTGACCTTCCATACAGAGAGACCTTGTGCTAGGAGTCCCCACACTGACTTCAAGCTGGATCTGTTTTATCAAGGACTGAGGGCCCCCCAATATGCCTCAGGGCCCCCAAGCCACTCATGTCTGTTTCCCAAAAGGCAACAATTTATGACACAGCTATATTCAGTAGCTTCACCTCTGAGGGTCTCAGAAGTTCTCCAGACAGAGACAACCCTAACCTTATTGTCCAAGACCCATAAGCTCTGACCAGAGCACAGTCTGTCTGGATTTACCTGTCCGCTGCTTTCTCACGCAGCCCCTGGAGAACAAGCACATCTCAGCGGATCCCCAGAGGCTCAGAGTCTTTTTCCCACAGTCTTGACTTCCTGGAGGCCAACCGCAGGCCTGGTAAGAGATCCCTGGGTCTCTCAGGCTGGATGCTTTGCTCTTAAGAGTGTACCCCCGAGCCCCGAAGTTTTAAACCCTTCCCTACTGCACCCCTAGCTCCAGTCCCAGCCTGGCGTGCTCTTAATGGACCAAGCACTTGATAGCCCTGGCACTGCCCTGCCTGAGTGTCCTGCTTGCGTTCTGGGTGAGGGTGGGCAGAGAGGTGGTCCCACTCCAGTCTGCAACCCAAAAGGGTAGTTGTGGCGAAAACCTAACCAGACCCTACTCCTTCCCCTGGTGCCACAACCCACCCGGACAAGCTCTCCCGAGGGGTGTCGGTGAGGATCGGGGGCGTCCTCCCTGAGGATACTGTGATGAATTGGTGCCCTGACCCTTAAGCCTTTTGGTCTAGTCTCAACTTAGGCAACTTAGAGTTGCCTCTCCATTCCCTTGGCCCTGAAGGAGAAGTTGGGCTGTAGCTGAAAGCACAGCCATCCCCGCTGCTTGGAACAGGCTGGCTCCCCGTTATAACAGGCCAGCAGATTCTCAACATGTTCCTGATGAGATTAGGAGCTCCCGCAGGTATGTGTTTGTGGCGGCCTGCAGCCTGTATCAACAGATTCGATGACTCACTTCTTCCGTGGAATAACTGAGGGCTTGCTGAAACACACCTGGGGGCTGGGGGGTGAGCAGAGGAGCTCCCCCTGAAGAGAGACGTGCCTGTTCAGCTGAGTGTCAGGACGATTTGTGAGGGACCCAAGGGGCCCCCGGGGTTGCTAAGCCTCCTACCTGCCCCGGGTCCTACCCAGGCTGAAAGCAAAGGAAAGAGTCAACCACCACAGACAACGCTGAATCAGGAGGGACTGTGGCTGGCTGAGAGGGTCCCACGTTCTCTGTTTTGGGAGCTTGAGGCTTAGACGGGCTTTCTGGTCTGAAGCTTGCAGGAGCCCTTGCCCAGTGGGCTTTGAAAAGCTGTGCCTCCGCCAAGAAAGGAAATTGTGCAGTAAAGAAGAAAGCCGTATTTTCCCCTCCAGCACATCATTGAGATATCAGGCTACGTGTCGCCTTTCCAAACACGGAAACCCCTGCAGCGGGCTCCAGTCTGCAGCAGTGTGAGAAGAGCAGGTGTGGCCAGTGGGGGCTCACTTTGCCCCCACCCTGGACAGGACTTGCCGGACCCTGGCCCCGGCAGGATCCTTGAGGACATTGGCCGAGCGCCCCCCGCCGCTCGGGCCCTGGGTCTCTATGCTGCAAAGACACTTGCTGCCAAGACATCAGTGCTTCGAGGCAAGGTTATTCCTAAGTGAGCGGAGCCTGCCAGGAAGAAAGAGTTTGCGCCCTGCTCCACAGTGCAGGTGTGACGGTGAGCTCACAGCTGCCCCCCAGGCATGCCCAGCCCACTTAATCATTCACGGTCGACAGTGCCCCCGCCCAGCCCGGTGCTAGAGGATAAAAGGGGGATTGCAGTTCCCGGTGCAGAGCCACCCTCTGCATCCTGCTGAGCTCTGTTCTCTCCAGCACCTTCCAAGCCCCCGTGTCCAGTAGTCTCGCTCCGCCAGCAACAGGCCGTCATGTCTCGCCAGTCAAGTGTGTCTCTTCGGAGCGGGGGCAGCCGTAGCTTCAGCGCCGCCTCGGCCATCACCCCATCTGTGTCCCGCACCAGCTTCACCTCCATGTCCCGGTCCGGGGGTGGCGGTGGTGGCTTTGGCAGGGTCAGCGTTGGGGGTGCTTGCGGAGCTGGTGGCGGCTATGGCAGCCGGAGTCTCTACAACTTGGGAGGCTCCAAGAGGATTTCCATTAGCACCAGTGGCGGCAGCTTCAGGAACCGACTTGGTGCCGGTGCTGGAGGCGGCTATGGCTTCGGAGGTGGCGCAGGGAGCGGATTTGGCTTTGGCGGTGGAGCTGGTGGTGGCTTTGGGTTCGGTGGCGGAGCTGGTTTCGGAGGCGGCCTTGGTGGCGCCGGCTTCCCCGTGTGCCCCCCTGGAGGCATCCAAGAGGTCACCGTCAACCAGAGTCTCCTCACGCCTCTGAACCTGCAAATCGACCCCACCATCCAGCGGGTGCGCACGGAGGAGCGCGAGCAGATCAAGAGCCTCAACAACAAGTTCGCCTCCTTCATCGACAAGGTGAGGCATGTTACGTTGTGAAAAACCACCAAGAGTCTGGAGTGAATGCCAGAGAGAGTGGGAAGAGGGGAGATTTTCTGACTTTACGTAAAATGCGCTCATAGTCTGCAGCCGAGTATTTGTTTCTGCATCCTGCAGTGGTGGCCACTCTCTTAATTAGATCATCTTGGAAGGGGGGGTTTGCTTCTGTCCCTCCAGAGATTACCCCATAAGGGCTCCTTGATTACTGTTGGCAAGGAGAGGAGCTCTGGGCTTCATGTAACGGGGCTGACTGCACAGGGAGATCAGGTCAGAGGCAGCAGCCCCAGTGTCTGAAGTCGCTGCTACACTGAGCCCCCAGCTAGCAGGCCTGGCACTACCTGTGCCCTGGAAAAGTGTCCTGTCTTTCCTAGAAGAGTGGGCTTGGAGGCCTCACTCTGGGCCTCTCCTCCCAGTGCCTGGGACCAAGCGCTGTCTGTGGAAAGGTTTAGTGGGGCAGCATGAGATGGGAGGAAAAACAGTGAAGTGATCACAGAAAAAAAATCCAAGTTTCTCCACCTTCAAACTCTTCTGTCAGGTGCGGTTCCTGGAGCAGCAGAACAAGGTCCTGGACACCAAGTGGACCCTGCTGCAGGAGCAGGGCACCAAGACCGTGAGGCAGAGCCTGGAGCCCCTGTTCGAGCAATACATCAACAACCTCAGGAGGCAGCTGGATGGTGTCCTAGGGGAGAGGGGCCGCCTGGACTCTGAGCTCAGGAACATGCAGGACCTGGTGGAGGACTTCAAGAACAAGTGAGTTGGTGGGGTGGAGACAGGGTGGAGGAGGTCCTCTTGGCCTTTGCCATGAGCTTGAGGCATGTACCTTCCCCGAAATCCAGGTCCATGTCTAGAAAGTTCTAACCCCTGACCCCACCCATCTGCAAGGCACTTAGCCAACGCCCAGAGGAATCTTCCAGTGCCCTTGGTACCACCTGGTGAAATAATATAATCCTCCGTCTTTGGGACTCACCCCACCCCCTGCTGTATACGCAAAGTGCACAGCTCTGCTGTGTGATGGACTGCCCCTGCCCCCCAAAGCAGGAAGAGCCCACACAACCCAGCTCAGTGGCTCAAATAATTTCTATAGTTCTTATAAACCAGCAGCTGAGCTACTCATTTTTTGTTTGCTGGTTTGTTTTAGGCTGTGAAAGCTGAAAAATGCACGAGACAAATTGACTAGAGGTGGAATTGCTTTTCTGCAGGAATATTCTCAAAACAACTGACTTATAGCAACAGTAGAATGATTGTCTCGGGCAGTTACAGAGGAAAGTGTAACGCCTTGGCCTTACCAAAGGGGTTCACGCTACCAGCGCCCTCTCCCTCTCTGCCTATATGACAGGAAATATTCCCTCCCAAGGGGACAGTAGCTTCTCGGTTGACTTTATGCAATAAAGACCCCAGGCCTCGTGCAACCCTCATCTTTGACAAGCACTTCCCATTTCTTGTTCCTCCAGGTATGAAGATGAAATCAACAAGCGTACCACTGCTGAGAACGAGTTTGTGATGCTGAAGAAGGTGCGTGGGTGGAGAAGCACCTGTGGCTGTGGCCACTCTCTTAAAAAGCCTTTCATTTAAGTCAGGGTGGAATCGGGGGCAGTGCCAACCATCCCTGTTTCTCTAGGACGTGGATGCTGCCTACATGAGCAAGGTGGAGCTGGAGGCCAAAGTTGACGCGCTGATGGATGAGATCAACTTCATGAAGATGTTCTTTGAGATGGTAAGAAATGGCCCATACTCAAGACCCAGAGAGATGGTCCCTGGGGTCCCCAGGACCAGGGATGAGGATCTGAGTGGCCGGGAGTCCCCAGATTATTCCAGTGGCCCCACAGTCTTTCCCTTTAGTATTATTTGCACTTTATTACTTATGAGGCATTCTCTCTTTTTTTTTAATCAAAAAAGGCCTGGTCAACCATTATTTTGCAGATGAGGGTTAGAGTGAGTATGTCCAGGCCCCCCTCTGGAGACACCTGCTCGCTCTGCTTCCTCCTAGCAGGGCAGGCCACACAGTGTCTTTTAAAATAAGTTGTGACCCAAGAAGATCTGAGTTGGTAGGGGTTTCTTGGATGTTCAGGATTTTTTAAATCATTAGTTCAATAGATTTAGTGACAGTTTGGATTCTTTATTCATCTAATTTTTTGGCATAAGTGGTTATCAGTTATTTCTCCAGTTGACATACCACAGTGAGCGGGAGAGTGGGCCTGACATTAAGTAGCCCAGAATAGGTGACTGACTTCAAATTTCCCTGCAGGAGCTGTCCCAGATACAGAGCCACGTCAGCGACACGTCCGTGGTGCTGTCCATGGACAACAACCGCTGCCTGGACCTGGACAGCATCATCGCCGAGGTCAAGGCCCAGTACGAGGACATCGCCAACCGCAGCCGGACGGAAGCCGAGTCCTGGTACCAGACCAAGGTGGGTGCTACGGCGACTGTGTCCTGAGGGAGGGGAGGGACATGTGTCTAGGGCTCCAGGTGGTGACAGAATGCTATGGGTTGGGTCCTGAAATCTGCTGGGGCCTCCCGAATGAGTTCCAGAAACAGTCACGTGTGCTTCTGCCACGTAGATTCAAGAACCTTAGGGTTATGAGTCGCACTATAAACCAGCGTCTCTAGGAAAGCAAAAGTACTAAAACGGAATCTTTTCTCTTTTCTGGCGGCATCAGTATGAGGAGCTGCAGCAGACCGCCGGCCGGCACGGGGACGACCTCCGCACCACCAAGCAAGAGATCTCGGAGATGAACAGGATGATCCAGAGGCTGAGAGCGGAGATCGACAATGTCAAGAAGCAGGTAGGGAGAGGCTGAAAGAAGGCAAGGAAGGGGCCAGAGCTCAGAAAGGAGAGCTCTGGCATTTTTACTTTTTCTAAACACACACACACACCCCCAACGGAACAAATACTGACGTTTCGCTGATCTACCATCCACAATGACAACACAAATATAATGTTTCTCTCTGAATCTCAGAGACCCTGCAGGCCCAGTTCAATGTCAAAACATCCTCATTCTCCCTTCCTTCGCCCTCTAGTGCGCCAACCTACAGAACGCCATCGCCGACGCCGAGCAGCGCGGGGAGATGGCCATCAAGGATGCCAGGAGCAAGCTGGCTGAGTTGGAGGACGCCCTGCAGAAGGCCAAGCAGGACATGGCCCGGATGCTGAAGGAGTACCAGGAGCTCATGAACACCAAGCTGGCCCTGGACGTGGAGATCGCCACCTACAGGAAGCTGCTGGAGGGCGAGGAGTGCAGGTGGGCAACACGAGAGACCCCAGGAGGGTCTCCTCACACTTGATCAAGCGGAACTGCTCCACTACACACACACACACACACACACACACACACATACACACTCGCGCACACACGCGCAAGCACGTGCACACAACCACTATCTTGTACATGATAATTATCCATCATCCATCCCGTTTCAGTCTGACATGGCATACAGCTGGCCCCTACAACGTGACCGCAACTCACTTTCCTGACCCTGTTCCCACCAGCAGTAATCTCAGATGCTGCCTCTCCCTCAAATAACTAGGCAACTCAACAAATGTCTTCCCCATCCTTCAAGTACCTCTTCTCTCAGGAAGCCCTTCGAGATTACTCCAGCTGAGCTAACTCATCTGCCTTTGGCTTCTCAAACTACTTTGATTTCTTTGATCTTGTAGCACTGCCTTCTGCCTACTTCCTGCAAGAGGAATTTCTGTGCTTGCCAAGTTCTCTCGTAGATTTAATTCTTACACTGCAAAAACCGCTTCATACATATTCATAGTTCCCGTAGCTCCTTAGTCATGCTTTGCACAGAAAGGGTGGAGGAGGATGTGAATTCTAATCAGATCACATCGTCTTCATCGAGAAGTCCCTGCAAAGCTATTTCTTCCACTACTTGAAGCAGTTGTTAGACACGTAGCCTCCTGGCTTATGGAACAAACTCTAGCCATGACAGTGGGAGTTAGCCACATTTTTTAACTTATTTCATTTTTCCCCCCTTCAGGCTGAGTGGCGAAGGAGTGGGACCAGTCAACATCTGTAAGTAACTTCGAACAGATATTAACAGTGATGATAATGTGGGGCACTGGTGTCCACGCAGAACCCCAATCTCCCTAGGCACCAGACACTCCCATCCCATTATGCGGTGACTCGTGTGTTATCCCCTACAGAGGCCGCACTGTGGGGTGCCCACGCACCCAGTCCCCGCCAAACCCTGCCCTGCGCACATGGCACCGTGCCTTCCCTGCGCTGTTCGCCAACCACCTTAAATTAATGCCTTAGCTTTCCGGGCCTCATTGCTGCGCTGTGGAGGGCCCAGGAGGTCTGCTGCTCTGTCACCAGCAGACCATATAAGCGGACATGTAGGATCGACCTGACCCACCGTCCTCACCAATTTCTCCCTCTTTCCTCCGCAGCTGTCGTCACAAACAGCGTGTCCTCTGGCTATGGCGGCGGCAGTAGCTTCGGAGGTGGCAGTGGCTTCGGGGGCGGCCTCTGTGGCAGCCTGGGCAGCGGCGGGAGCAGCTACTACTCCAGCAGCAGCGGGGGCATGGGCCTGGGCGGCGGGCTCAGTGTGGGGGGCTCCGGCTTCAGTGCCAGCAGTGGCCGCGGCATGGGGATGGGCTTCGGCAGTGGCGGGGGCAGCAGCTCCAGCGTGAAGTTCGTTTCCACCACCTCCTCCACCCGCAAGAGTTTCAAGAGCTAAGCGCCAGGCCCTGCCTCTCAGAGCGACCACCGGCCCGCGGCGACGGCCTCTGCTAGGTGGCTGCCCACGCCAACTTTTCCCTTCTTCTGGAGTGTAGTCTAGATCAAGCCCATTGCAGAGCCGCCGTCTGCAGTCTCCCCAGTCTCCCCAAGGGCGCACCCCCAGTCTCAAGTGTCCCATGCCTCAGTTCTGTGTTCTGCTTCGAATCCTCCACGACAGAAGAATCCAAAGTTTTCCATTGTCTAAGCCATCAAAACCAAGTTCCCACCCCCAGTCCAAATTTTGTTCTGGCTACTTCCAGAGTGTGTTCAATAAAATGCTTTTATAATATAAGCTTTTGTGCAAAATTGTTTTTTTCAAGGCGTGCAACCTACCTGGATTAACCCACCAGGGTTAGTCTACCCGGATGTGATTGCTTTGATGACTCACACAGAGAATGGGATGATTATGCAAAAATGCGGCCATCTCGGGTGCCAGAGATGGCAGCTCTCCCCAAGAGGGGGCTGCTGAAACCTGGAACGGATTTCTTTCTGGAGCTCATGAGTGAAAGTTTAGCACAGTGCAATTTGAACAGATTTTAGAGTCTTTTTGTTGGAGAGGATCCCCATTCAAGGTGGACTGGTTTGCAAGGGACAGCATACATGAAATTTGTAAATAAGGAACACGTTGGTTCTGTTTAGTATTGTGGGTGCTCGGAGGCTTTTTTGTCAGCATCACAGATGGGGCGGGTCTTGCTTTACCAACTGATTTCAGGATTGGGAGAAACATTATTAAATGGTAGGAACTTAGAGGAAGATACTTACCAAATAATTTCAAGAGTTAAACTAAGATGGGAGCTCCTGCAAGGCAGGACCTGGCATCTGTGTTGACAAGGGCCTGCCCCCTTTTTGTGAGCTCCTTTGTGAGCACGTGTGTCCTAAAGGAGTGTGTCCAGGGGCCTCCCTGGTGGTGCAGGGGATAAAGACAGCACTATCAAGCTGTTGCCAGCCACTGCAGCACGGGTTGGATCCCCCGGCCAGCCAGGGAACAACCCACATGGCGCAACAGAGCTCTCCTGTCTCACCTGCTGCTCCCCTCAGCAGTGTATTTCAGTAGATCTGCCTGTTCTGCTCCCCACTCTGTCTCTGGTGAATCCACACCCCCTCCCTGCACCTCTGGCCTACACCTCAGCTCTAGTATGCATAAATAAATAAATCTTTAAAAAAAAAAAAAAAAGGACTGTGTCCAGTGAACCTCTTCAGAGGAGGATTCTTTGACTTCATATCAGACCCGTGCTGGAAAAAATCTTATCCAATCAAAATCTTGTACCGAAGACTGCATGCAATGGCAGGATGAAAGCAAACTGTGACCAAAAGGTGCTTGAAATGGGTCCTAAGCACAAGATTATTATCCATATTCAAAAAGCACAATATTCACCACCAGGTACTGACTGCATAGAGTCAGCAATTGCAGTAGTAGCGAGTGAGAGGCTTGAACGGGTTGCCAGTGCTTGGAGGCTGTGGGAATCCACTGCGAGGCACCTTCCCTCTTTCCAACTCTGCAATCAGCCAAGCTGGACTGCTGCATGGAGGAACCATCACCCCTTCTCTAGTGGATCCCATATCATGTGTCTCACTCTCTGAAGCCCTGCTTGCACTTTTATTAGGGCATATTTTGACTGGGGGGAGGTCCATGGAGTTCCATTTTGTCAAGCAAATTTGTAAGTTTCAATGACTTAATTTAAGTTTGATGTGCTACTCATGAGGCAGGGAGTCCATGACCACCGTGTGATACTGTGGGTGTTCTGATCATGCCAAATTTAGGCAAGTCAGCAGTTCTAAAAATCAAGGTGAGGTACAGCTGTTTTCCCTCTAGCTTGTGTCCAGAGACTTCCCCAAGGTTACACAGCTACTTTGTGGAAATTTAGTAAGACACCCAGGCATAGTGCGATTTGAGCTTCAGGAATAATTGGGGCCAGGAAGATTTGCCAAATGGTGTATCCAGCAATTCAGAACCTATGTGGTAGAGATGCTAAGTTGATCCATGCCCCTTCTTAGCTTTTTCATGTATTAATTCTTTGAGTTGATTTTGGATTTCCAGTCACACCGATTGTGTTTTAGTTTTATTGTATCCTCCCCCTGTTTCTAGGTTTCTTTCCTTTTTTTCTTTTTTCTTTCTTTTTTCTTCCTTTTTTCTTCCCTCTTCCTCTCTCTCTCCTTCCCTCCCCCTCTCCGTTCTTCCCTCTCTCACGTCTGTGGTCACAGGATATGTATTTGGAGGAGGGAGGGATACTCACTGCCCTGCTCATGTCTATACGTTTCTTTCTATAGAGATGCTCAGATTAGTATCATCGGGGTTTGGGGCCTCCACCACGGCAATAGTTGAATTAACCCTTTTGCTGTGCCATAGGATGCCATGTGAGTTTCTCCTATAGCTCCGTGGATGAGAATCCTTTTTGGAAACAGGCATATGCAGCAGCTGCAAAGATAATTCTTTTTTTTTTTTAAAGATTTATTTATTTATACAAGCACTGGGCACAGTCAGAAGCGTGGGAGGGTGAGAGAATTCACCAGAGCCAGAGCAGGGAACAGAAAAGGCAGACTGACGAAATACACTGCTGAGGGGAGCAGCGGGCGGCAGGAGAGGTTTGCGCGCCATGTGGGACCCTCGCCCACCGGCCAGGGATTGAACCGGCACTTCAGAGGCTGCGGGCAGCTTCGCAACTTAGCGCTCAACCGCTGCACCACTGGGGAGGCCCAGCAAAGATAATTCTTAATGTCCTAGCAAAGCATCTGCCTTTAAGTGGGAGTGCAGTCTTAGCATACCACATAGTAACTGTACTTCACCCACCTAATGGGACCACGTGTTCCATACGTTACCAATCTTTCCCCTGAGAACTTCATAGAATGGGACTCAGTACCTCCTTGAGACACACAACCAGTGGCCACAGGTAAGAGTCATTCCCTGAGCTTGGTGTGAGTCATGGTTTATGGGGAAACAGAGAAACACAATCCAATATGACACACACAGACAGGACAGGTCTGTATTGGGACACATGGACAAGGGACAATTTGAAGAGGTCTCTGATCCCATACACTTCTGATGTATTTGAGTTAAATCTGTAACAGAGACCTGATAGTAGACCGCAAATGCAGCACAAAGTAGTACACCAACAAATGCAAACTTGCTAGCAGATAGCAACACCATTCAAAGAGCCCTCTAGCCAGAAAGCAGCTAAAGTGGCATGCTCACAAGCAGCCGTCAGAGTCAGCCAAAGGAGGAGAAGAAACCCAGGGGCAGTAGTCACCTCCCAGACATCCCAGCACCCGTTATTGTGGCCACCCTACAAAGGCAGGATGGATCCTCGCTCAAATTTGGCTCAGCTCTTGAGACTGATGAACACACACACACACACACACACACACACACACACACCAAGATGGTATGAAAATATTTATTACTCACCTAATAGGACTTTCCGGGAGAACAAAGCAGGCCTCCTAAACCAGTCCAAATATGACTTGAAAGAGCAGGGAAAAAGATTCTATGTAGTAGGAGAGTAGACAGGTTGAAAATTCCTGAACACGATTTGAAGTTCCCACCAATTACAAAAGAGGGAGCACTTAAACTTTCTTCACAGTTTTCTCAAATGTAAGTAGAAGCAGGAGAGATGGGGCTTAGAGGCTCTCCACTGTCAAAATTCATTGCAGTAAATGTAGTTTTATATTTAAAAACATTAACCATCTAATATGCAAAATTAATAGAATGAAAGGGAAGAAATCAAACGTTCACCAAAAAAAGCAACAATTATACTTGATAGTGAATGATCAAAACCTTCTCATTGATATCAGGAAAGAAGCAAGGATAATAATTACCACTATTATTCAACATTATAGTGCAGATCCTAGTGCAATGAAAGAAGACAAACATCTTAAGAGTTAGAAAGAAATAAAGCAAATAGCAGTTACTCATACAGGGCATGATTATGTGTGTAGAAAATCAAAAGAATCTCCAAATCATTAACATTAATAGGTGACTGTGTCAAGAGCACTAGAAAATCAACTTAAAAATCAAGTGTATGTCTATACACTAGTATGAAACAATTAGAAAATGAAACTGGGCTTCCTTGGTAGCTTAGGGGTTAAGTCCCAGTGCCATCACCTGTATGGCCTGAGTTCAATCCCCAGCCAGGGAGCTGACCCACATGGTACAGTAGACCTCTCCTGTCTTGTCCGCTGCTCCCCTCAGCAGTGTATTTCAGGCATTATGACCCAAGGGTGGTCAAAATTTCTTACACAGGATAAAATAATTGCTTTCCTTAAAAAGAGTACAAGCATCCATTCATAAAGCAACAAGAGGAGAGCAAAAAAAGCAAGGCACAACACAGGAAAGATATTTGCAATACAAATAACTCTCAAAGAAATTTCATCCAATATTATAGTGCAGATCGTAGTGCAATAAAAGAAGACAAACAAACATCTTAAGAGTTAGAAAGAAATAAAACAAATAGCAGTTACTCATACAGGACATAGAAAAAGAAAATTATACATGTCAGAAATTCAAATATACATTAAAGAAGGAAAAACATGAAATAAGAATAAATGGAGATAATGTAAAACTTTTCTTTTTATTTTTTTATTCTGAATTGATGTAAACGACAACAATTTGTTAAAAAAAAATAGTAGTAGCAGCGACTCTGAGTACACCAAATGCTGACATTCTAGAACAACAGCAACATTCACTGCAGATAGGAATGCAAAAAGGCACAGCCATGTAGGAAGACAGTTGGACAGTGTCTTATGAAAATAAACAATGTCATCATACAATCCAGCAATAGCTCTCCTTAGCATTCACCCAGATGAGCTGAAAATTATGTCCACAATAAAAACCAACACAGGATGTTGTAGTAGCATACCATCACCTACTGTGACCAATGCACAACTCTGGTGTAGGATGTTGGTAGAGGGGAGGCTATATGTGGTGGTGGGTGGTGGGTTGTGGACAGGGAGTAAATACGAACT